TAAATGTGGAGCCATCTGTATGCCATTTTTTTAGGGCGTTTGGTCAGTTTGGTTTAACAAATAGATTGGATGACAAGATCTTAGGAAGGTTTAGAAGTAATTAGAAGAAACTGGTTGAAGGATATGTGAAGCCTTTAATTTAAATTTTGGATTATTGATTTAGTAATGATGTCTTAAGATTTTGAAGTTCATGATTTTGGATAGAAAAGGTTCAAAATATCATTATCATGAGAACAATTCAAACCAAGTGTAAATACAGATAATTTGTATGTAATGTTTACTCGTAAACATTTATCAAGGTTATATGAATCTCCTGCATGATTTTAGCTTTCCCATTGCCTTCATTTTACTATAATTGGAGCAGTTTGAATTTCTACCCATTGTTCTTTCTTTATTAGATAATCTTGGAGAAGATTGTCCTGTTTTTGAGAATCTGTTTGAATTCTGCCAAATTTATGCTGGTGGAACAATAGGTAAAGAGCCCATCATATTTTGATTCTGTCACAAAAGTTTGACTTACATTTACTGACCTTAACATAATATTTACTCGCAGATGCTGCACGCAGATTGAACAACCAGCTTTGTGACATTGCAATAAATTGGGCTGGTGGATTGCACCATGCCAAGAAGTGTGAAGCGTCTGGATTTTGTTACGTTAATGACTTAGTTTTGGGCATTTTGGAGCTTTTAAAGCATCATGCCCGTGTTCTGTACATCGACATTGATGTGCATCATGGTGATGGGGTAGAAGAAGCCTTCTATTTCACTGATAGGTATTAAGAAACATGATATGCAGTCTGTTAACTTGTGATGTTGATTATCATTTAACTTAGTATGTGATAACCATATAAATAGCTTCGATTTTACGGCCCTCTCAAAGCTAATTTTCTGTTGAGCAGTTGGTCTAGGTGCAGTTTCAGAGATGTCTATTGTCAGTTTGTGAAAGCATATAGCCATTTTTGTTACCCATTTTTGTAAAAATGAGAATGAAAAATATAGCCGTTATGGGC